CATACGGAGCAGCAACAAAGGGCTCCATGCATTTTCACGTCTGCACCGACTCGGTCGTAAGGGACTGCATTGCGAATGCTGAATGAGAAGTGAGTCTTCTCTCCTCCTCCGCTGCGTACACCCTGCGTATGCGGCACCGCCGGCTCGAGCCGACCCCCCCCCCCCTCTTTCCGCGCATTCCTCGATTGGAGTGTGCGTTTCTCTGGTCATCCTCACTCGCTCTCTTCCTTTTGTTTTCAACTATTTGCCTAGACTTATCATTATTATTAGTGGTGAAGCGCTGAACACCGCGTCTGCGGCATTGGAGGCGGAGACACGCACAAGTCGAAAAGGACGCACTTCTCCAGTGTGTTTCACACCAACCATTCCTAATTCTTTGTTGTTGTTGTTGTTGTTTGTCTGTTGTCGCTGTCTTCGTCATTCTCTTGCGCTCTGTCCTCATGTCCCTCCACTTCACCGTCAGCGGCGGCAACGTCCGCACCTTCCTCAGCGTTCTTCTGTGCGTCGGCAAGATCGGCGAGGCGGTGTACTTCGTCGCCCTCCACGACGGGATTGAGGTGAGTGCGGTGACGCCGAGCCTTAATGGCCACATCGCCGTCCGCATCCACGCCTGCTACTTCGACAACTACGCTTTCCAGCCGCTCCAGGCGTCATCCGCCACCAACGCGGATGGTATGGCAGCAGACGGCGGCCGGGCGGAGGGTGGCGACGTACCCACCGAGTTGTTTCTCTGTGTGTTGGCCAAGACGCTGATGGCGACGGTGCTGCGGCAGCACAGCAACGGCAACCTCCAGAGCATTGAGTTTTGCTACGATGTCGCGGAATCGATGCAGCGCAGCAACAGCGCCAACCGCAGTGCGACCGAAGCAGCCGCCGGCGGCGAAGGAGGCAGCGGCGTGACCGCTGTCCCGCACGAGAAGCGAGACAGTCGCAGCAGCAGCAACAACAATACCCGTCCGACAGACTTCGATGAGCGGATCGACGCGGACATGGTGCGGTGGACGTGCACGTACGCGCGGAACATGTCGAAAACTTTCCTACTCCGCCTAGCCGAGGGCGTTCCCACGAGCGTGTGTGCCGACGCTCGCCGCTACCACTTCGAAACGTGCGGAGAAGCGCGATCCTACGGCAGTTTGTTGGCCTCGCTGCCCAGCAGCGCCGGGCAGTGCGGGCTGACGTTGCTGGAGAGCGGAGTGCTGGAGCTACGATCGGTCAACAACACGCAGCCACAACAGTCAACAGCATCAACGACGCGCGGTAAGGCCGCCTCTGGCATGACCGCGTCATCGGCGGACGGCAGCGCCGCGGTGGTGACGGCGTTTGCGAAGGCGTTCCATCTTTTTCGCTTTTACGATGTTGTGCGCGCTTCAGCATCACTCGACACCTCTTCTTCCTCGCACGACAACACCGCGAGCTCTGCGGCAGCGGCGGCGGCAACGCCTGCATCCCAGCAGGTACGACAACAGAGCGTCGCGGACGATTTGGGCACCTCGTCGGGGCCATCGATGGTTCCCCCCACCCCTTCGCCCAGCACTCAACAGCAGCAGCCATCATCAGAAATGGATAAAAACAACGCCATGGCAAGCGCAGAATCAGAAGCAGAGAAGCTGATTCGCAGGCCCTTTGTGCAGCTTCCCGGCAAAGTTTTCGATGTGAAACCCTTCAAGCTGGCCGCGTTGCTGGCGGAGCAGCTTGGAGTGCAGCTGCGCCTCCGCTGTGGCGAGGCTGGCATGCCGCTTATCCTTACCAGCATCACTCCCGAAGAGCTGCAGGAACTGATTGCAGCAGACTCTGCGACAGGGCAGGCCTCGCGTAGCACAGGCACAGGCCCAATGCGGGGCAGCAACAGGCATGACAGCGAAGTTGCATATCGTAGCGGTGTCGTCGCTGCACCGGCCCTCCACCGATCTGCGCGACCCACGGCGGTGTCGGCGTGTATTTCATTCGTCATGCACGTGGCGGCTCTGGACATGGCATCCGCTGTCACCGACGCCGGTGCTGCCACAGAGGGCGGACAGAGCACCAGTATCGCGACGGCCACGAGCTCCACGGTGAACACACCACGCGCGAGTGCGCATCATCCAAGTTTGCCACCTTTCTCACCGATTGCAGCGACAGCAGCAGCGCAGCGCCACAGTGGCGGTGGCGGCGGTGAGGAAAAGAATTTGGATATTCATAGAGGGCGCGCAGGGGCGGACGGTGTGAACTCCTTCTTGCCACCCTCCTTCTCACCTTCGACCTCCGCGCTGGCCAGTGCTACACGCAGCTCCACACATTTTGCGCTGGGTGGCGGCGGCGGCGATCTCGCCAGTGTGGCCTCTTCCGTCGTCCAACCTTCTCCGCAGGAGGACGAGCGGCAGCCCTTCACCAGCAGCGACCACGTCAGCAGCAGTTGCACGCCTTCCCACGTTGAGGCCAGCTTTGCCAGCGCCGCTCTCTCCCCTCTGCACTTCGGTCGCACAGGAGAAAGTCTACCGGAAGGAGAAGATGAAGTCAAAGGCGGCCTCGACGCCACACCGCGGCCCTCCGTCGCGAGCACGTCCGACGTGGTGATGGTGATGACGGGCGAGGACACCCCGGAGAATCATGGAAGCAGCGGCAGCGGCAATCAACACCACCCCACCGCCGCCGTCGCCAACACCGCCGCCTCTCTCAACTCGTTGTACCCCCTCGATTTTGAAGCATTTGCGCGCAGCTACGCGACGCAGAACGGTGCGGACGATGAGGAGGAGGACGCGCAGGACGCCGAGCTGCGTGAATTCCTGGCGAGCTGCGTCGCCTCCATGTCCCGCGGTCCCACACAGAACTAAAACACACCCACGAGCAGAGAGAGGCGATAACGAGAAAGCTGGCACTCGATCAGAAAAAGATGGACTGGGAGGAGGAGAGGAGGATGGCGTGTTCGCGTACGGAGCTGGCATTTACGTGGGGGAGGGTTGTGTGTGTGTGTGTGTGTGTTGCAGAACAGGCATCACACTGCAGCACTGCGGAGGTTCTTCTCTCCTTCTCTCTTCAGCTGGACAGAAAACTCATAGAGCGACAGCGGGCAGCAGTTTTTCTTTTCTTTTCCATCTCATGAAAGTTTCAATGAGCGCAGCACTGCCTACCAGACATGGCCTTTCTACAAAAACAAAAATCAGCGCTGCACGGTGCGTGTTCTTCTCCCTATTTTCAACATACTGTTGCTCCTTGTCGTGTTACCCCGCTGACAAGCATTACTTCCCATGGATGAGAAAAGGACTCACCTTTGGCGTTCGTTGTCTCCCTTCGAGAGCAGTACAGGGAAAAGAACAACTAAGTTATGAAGCAGCGGTCTCAACTGTCACGTCGTCGAAGCCGCCTCCTCTCCATTTTACTTGGTTGTTGTTTACGCACATCGTTGCGCTCCCCCGGACAAAGGATCACGCCTTTTCTTTCATTCGCACTCTTCGTCTTGCACCGGCAACTCCAACCTTCCTCCGTCCGGTCGCCTCTCTGTAAGCACCTCTGCCCTCTGTACACCTCGAGAAGAACGCGAACGTATTCGTTCTTTTCCTTTCCTTTATTAATCGCCGGCGTTGTTGGTTTGATTTTCGCTTCCTTTTTCAAAAGAGAAAATGTCATCTTCTGAGGCGCCGGCGACGCACAAGTTCAGCGCCGAGGTACGCGACGACAACCCATACAGCCGTCTCATGGCGCTGCAGCGGATGGGCGTCGTGGACGACTACGAGCAGATCCGCCACAAAGCCGTCGCCATCATCGGCGCCGGCGGCGTGGGCTCCGTCGTGGCAGAAATGCTGACACGCTGTGGTGCGGGCAAACTCCTCTTGTTCGACTACGACACGGTCGAACTGGCGAACATGAACCGGCTCTTTTACCGGCCGGAGCAGCAGGGTTTGACGAAGGTGCAGGCGGCGAAGGAGACGCTGGAGAGCATCAACCCCGACACCGTCGTCGAGCCGCACGCGTACAACATCACGTCCACCGAGCACTGGCAGCAGTTCACAGACGCGCTAACCTTGGGCGGTGTGGTGGCCGGTACGCCGGTGGACCTGCTGCTGTGCTGCGTTGACAACTTCCAGGCCCGTCTCACCGTGAACCTCGCGTGTCTCACCTACAACGTGCCGTGGATGGAGAGCGGGGTAGCAGAGAACGCCGTTAGCGGACACATCCAGCTGCTGCTACCGGGTGTCACGCCGTGCTACGAGTGCTGCCCGCCGTTGGTGGTCGCGACGGGGCTGCCAGAGGCGAAGCGCGAGGGCGTATGTGCCGCCTCGCTCCCGACCACCATGGGCATCGTCGCGGGTTTCCTGGCGCAGAACACGCTCAAGTACCTCCTGCACTTCGGCGAGGTCTCCGAGTACGTTGGCTACGACGCGATGCGGGACCACTTCCCACGCGTGGAGCTGCGCGCCAACCCGGAGTGCCGCAACGCGCTGTGCGTAGAGCGACAGCAGGCGTACGCGCTGCAGGTCAAGGAGCGTGGGGAGGCCGCCCATCCTCTCTACGAAGCCCGCAGAGCCCGCGAGGAGCGCGCTGCGAAGGAGAAGTTGGCGGCGCAAGCGCGTGCGCAGGCCTGTGCGGCGGAGTGGGGCATTACGGTGGAGGCGGAAGGGAAGGCGTCGCTGGCGGTCCGCAGCGGGGCAGTGAGTGCGGGAGACGCCATCGGGGTCGAGACGGCTGACGCGCCCACCGGTGGGCCGTCGGCGACGGATGGGGAGAGCGGGTTGGAGTACGCGTACGCCGCGGATGATGGCCACAACCCCGACGCAGCGGCGGCGGATCCTTATGTGAAGACGGACGACACCTCGATCGAGGAGTTGATGGCGCGCCTGAAGGGTATCCAGTGAAAGCCGAAAGCCGGGGCAAAGGTTTTTTTTTTCGCATTTCCGGTTGGGGAGGGGAGGTGTGTTCCTTCGAGTGCGGGAGCGTCCTCTTCTTTTTTGCGGCGCCGACTCCGTTGATGCTCTTCCGTCTGTGATGATCGCTTTCTCTCATGGATGCGAAACCGGCGGAGTGAAGTAACTCATTCCATAGCAGATAGCGTAAAAGGGGGATAAGTAAGAACGGCCGTCTCCCTACCGTTTTAGATTCGACTGATCGCACAGCACCTTTCGCACTTGCCGTTGTTTTGATGATCTGTGCTACAGAAAGGCTTGCCTTTCCTTCCATTTACGCAATGGGCTGCTCTGGGTAAGGAGTGGGTATGGAAAGCGTCCTTGTTTGCGAGTCCTCCATCATCGCGCATGCTTATCCGTGCTCGGCTGCCGGTGCTGCTACCGCTGCCATGTGTGTGTAACGGTGCTGACGGTGCGCCGTCAATCGGCAAACGTGAAAATTGAGGCATCTATGACGGCCTTTCTTTCCCCTGTTCACATCTCCTTTGTTTCTTTGATGTTTGCCGTTGCATGACGAGCACTTCACAGCATTAATAGAAGAAAAAACGGCAACTCGCCGAGTACATTGAAACGGTGGAGGAGAGAAGGGCCGCTCTGCACAAGCCTTCGCTGCAATTACCATTCACATTAATCCATCCGTATCAGAAAACAAAAAGAGAACTCCATGTCCGGTAACAGCGCGCCATCGAAAGAAATCCCCGGCCAGTGCCCGACCCCCGTGGAACTTGGCGTGTCGGGGTGGAACATCCTTCACTCCTCCGCTGCCGTCTACCCGTACAAGCCCTCCCAGGTGCAGCAGACGGCCATGAAGAACTTCATTGAGTCGTGGGCGCACGTCTATGCATGCAGCTGGTGCGCCTACCACATGCGCGACTACGTCCACAAGCACCCACCGGACGTCCGTGACAAGGTCAGCGTCTCTCGCTACGTCTGCGAGCTGCACAACGAGGTGAGTGCACGCTTGGGCAAGCCCGTGTTTGACTGTGCGCCGGAGGTGGTGCTGCGCCGCTGGCACCCGGGCTATCCCGACAAGATGGCGGACAAGCCCACCGTGGAGGAGCAGCTCGCGATGGCGGCGAAGAAGAAGGCCGACGCGGCGGCGGCACAGCGCCGACAGCAGGAGCAGGAGGAGCGACGCTTCAGCGATTTTGGTCTCACGACACGTGACGGGGCGCCGCGCGAGCCGGCGGGGTGGCGTGATGTGTCGTCATCTGCCTCCCGTACCAACGCAGCGGGCAGTGCCGGAGAAACCATCAACGACAGCAATACCAATAGCAGTAGTAACGATAAAAAAGCCAAGCGATGGTGGTTTTTTGGGTCGTCAGCCTTTAACGCCGCCCCTTCGCCGTCACCCCTGCCGTCCTCCGCAGAGGTGCCGTCGGCGGACTCGCCCACTGCTGCGACGGCTGCCCCGGCCGAGAGCGGCAGCGTGGCGGCCGGTTGGAATTCGTCTCACCTCCCTTCTGCAGCGGCGCCGTCCACGCTCTCGCAGACGCCGCTCCGGAAGAAGGCGGCGGACGATGAGACAGACGTGGACGCGGTGTTGGAGCGCCTGAAGCGGTGCCAGGTGTACTGCCCCGAGGATGAGGAGCTGCTGAAGCATTAAGATGGAGTCACGCAGACAGGATTCACGTGTGTGCGTGTCGCTGACGTTTGTGATGGTTGTTGTACGAGGCGAAGGTGGACGAGCGCGGATGGACTCGTGAAGACGCACAAGTCTGACTACTCGTCTTTTTTCTGGTTCACGGGGGCGTTGGAGTGCCGAGAGCACACTGCCGTTGTCCTTCACGCCGGTGCATGTTCCCACAGTGTGGGTTTCTTGTCTTTCCACGCACGGAGTTTTTATCTTTGCATATCTCAAGGCTTTTTCTATTGTTGGTGGTGTTGTTGTTGTTTGAGCTCGAGTGGCATTCTCTAACCAGCATGATCGCCGCTGTCGTTCGCTTGGTATTCTTCCTTTTTTGTTCTTTACAAAAAGACGTCTGAGTTCATTCGTCTACTCGTATGTATGTGTGTGTCTGTGTTCTCGTGCGTATCGGCGTATCACATCAACAAGAGCTGGAGAAGGAAAGAAGAAGGAAAGAAGGGAAATGAATAAGCACGTTCTTTACTTCCCAGTTGGCTTTCTCGCAGATAACCTTGTTATCCGTTGAGTTGCAGACAAACGGAACCGCGTGAACGGGGGGGGAGAGCAACGTTGTTTGGTGTGATGTCCCTCTTGCTGCGAGAGACTCGAAGCTGCTGTGGCATGCGGAGATTGCAAGAGGGCGCTGGACGTCCTTGAATGCTGATCTCTCGTGAAGGAGCACCTTCCTTTTTTCTTTTGCTGTATTTCCTTCACCTCTCTCTTCACCGCCTTCATTTCGTTGAACGCCAACCTACCCGCGTTTCTCATGGTCCTCCTCTCGTGCTTTCTTCTCTGTCACTGCAGTTAAGTTTGGTAAGCACATACCGTTTCCCTCCCCCCTCCCTTCTCTCTTCCAGAGCAGCAATCATGGGTCCTCTTTCCAAGAAGCGCATGATCATCCGCGACGGCGTGTTCTACGCCGAGCTCTTCGAGTTCCTCAAGCGCGAGCTTGCCGAGGAGGGCTTCTCCGGTGTGTCCTACCACGTCACCACGCTCCGCACGGAGATCGTGATCAAGGCGACCAAGACCCGCGAGGTTCTCGGCGTCAACGGTCGCCGCATCCGCGAACTGACGGGCTGCATCCAGCAGCGCTTCAACTACAAGGAGGGCAAGCTGCAGCTCTACGTCGAGCGCGTCGAGGTGCGCGGCCTGTCCGCCATGGCCCAGGTGGAGTCTCTGCGCTTCAAGCTGCTGAGCAACCTGCAGGTGCGCCGTGCCGCCATGGGCATCATCCGCTACGTCATGGAGTCCGGCGCGAAGGGTTGCGAGGTCACCGTCGGCGGCAAGATCAAGGGCCAGCGTGCGAAGAGCATGACCTTCCGCGACGGTTACATGATCAAGTCCGGTACGGCCCACAAGCACTTCGTCGACGCCGCCTGCCGCCACTGCTACATGCGCGCTGGCTGCATCGGCGTGAAGGTCAAGATCATGCTGCCGAACGACCCGAACGGCCGCAACGGCCCGTCCGAGCCGCTGCCGGATGTGATCACCGTGATCGAGCCCAAGCAGATCACCGCATCCGAGTAAGGCTGAAGGAGGAGGACGGTAGGCTTCTCGCATTTCCTCCTCTTCTCCTGTCTTTCTGATCTTCGCGACGCGGAAGGCGAGAAACAACGGGGGCGGAGAGAAGGGCGGATGGTGCCGTGTATGGGCGCATGTATGTGCGTCATCAACTCACAACTGAACTGTTTTATATCTATTCTCATTTCAATGAATTATTCATTTCTCCTTCAAACCCAAAAAAAAAAACAATACGAACGGTAATAAGACCTTTACCGCGTTGACGATGTTCTCCTTCGCGGCAACGAGGGAGATCGACGACAGCGAGTCTTGTTCACAGCAGAAATCGCCTAGCGGGGTGTGTGACGCTCCTTTCTCTATACCTCAGTAATGGCCTTCCTCGCCAGATGCCCTTTCGAAGAATTTGGTATCTGCGGTCTGTGGCGGTGGAGGTGAAACGAGGGAAGGAAGGCGCCACAGGCAGCCAACAAACGCTCCTTCCAAAGAAGAAGCATCAACAACACCAGAGAGGCTTATATGTTTAAGAGAAGATGCGCTTCTGAGAGGTACTTCGGTGCTGTGCTTTGCAGCTCCTCGCTCTACGCTATAACAATAAGCAAGTGTACCTCCCTTCTATTTCCTTCGTTTTTTTTTCTCCTCCTTCTCCTTTCTCCGTTGTGCATCGCAACTCTCCGTTGCAACGAGCAGTGCGTCAAGCGGTACAAGTTGACCGTCTTAGAGGTCATTTGAAATTGCCGTTTCCTGTTGAACACCGACGAGGCGGCGGCGGAGCTGACTTCGTGGGTTTTGTTCTCTCTCTCTCTCTGCTGTTAGCTGTTTTCCTCTTGTCACTGAAGACGCTGGTACGTACTTTCTGCTCTGTTTTTTTTTTTTGGTTTGTCAGACACGACGTGTTGCTGGTTTTCAGACCTGCGTAAGTCAACACACGTGCGCACAACCAGGTAGACAAGACAGTAGCAAACCTCCGTCTTTCTATCCCTATTTCTTCCTCTCCACACCACGTATCCGATGAGCTCCTCTGACCTCCACTGCGATCCGCGTATCGCGCCGGCGGTGGACCAACTCGCCGTCGTGGCCGCCCGCGTGCACGACGTGTGGGCCCGGATGGGCGTCTCCGCGATGGACCGCCAGCGCCGGTGGGACGCCTTTCTCCATGCCTCGCTGCTGCCGTTCGTGGGCGACTTCTGCGCCTTGCAGGAATCCGCCGAGTTCAACGCGGCGACTGAAAACGATGTCCTGCTGCGCGAAGTCTGCTACCTCGCGACACGGCTCGAGGAGGCGCCGCGCCACGCCGACGTGGCGGTGATCGTGACGCTGCTGAAGCAGCACTACACACGCACGCCGATGTCGTCTCCGCTGCGGCGGCGGCTGCAGCGCGATCCGGCAGTTTCCTTTTTACGGGAGCCTCAACGAGAATCAGCGGACAGTGACGAGAGCAGCGGCAGCGGCAATGTGGCGGCGCCAGCAGCAGCGCGGCGGAGCACAAAGGAGCTGGTGTTCCCCTCGCTCCCTTCCTTTGCAGAACTGCTGAAGCAGCAGTCCACAGAACACAAAGCGGAAGTCACGAGTGAGAAGGAGACGCAGACGGCGACGTCCACCGACAAGATGCAGTGGATTGCAAGCGACGACGATCGCGCAGAAGAGGACGCGGCGGAGGAGGAGGAGCAACAGAAGAGCACTGTGGCAGCGCCAGACCCCCATACAGCCTGTGGTGCAAAGAACGAAGAAGCAGCGGAAGAGGAAAGCATTGTGGCGGCGTTGGAGAATGAGGGAATCACCAGCCCCTTGCACTTCTCGACCACCGCAGACGCCATGCGGGCCCTGCAGCGCATGATGCAGGCGAACACACACGAAGGCGTTCGGCAGCAACTGCAGACGGAGCTGGACCGCCTGAAATCGCTGGCGGACAACCGACTTCGTGTTCTTCAGCTGCTGTGCAAGCAACGGGCTATTCTGACCCGTAGCCCAGCGGAGCAAGTGGCGCTGCGCACCGCCTACCGCGTAAAGTACCTCGGCACGGAAGAGCAGATCAGCAACACGAGCGAGTTGGAGGCGCGATCTTTGGCAGATGTAGGCGGTCCTGCTGACACATCCAATCGGACGGGTGAGACAAGCGCACTGGCGAAGGCGGTGCCGGTGATGCTGTCAACCTCGGCCGACCTTGTAGCGGCAACGACGGCCGTGACGGAGCCGTCCATCAGCCCGCCGGCGTCTTCGTCAAACTTTGCTTCCCTGCCGCCGTCTCCGAAGTCTTCCGGACACAGCACGGCCACCACCACGTTGGCGCCTTCCAGAATTACCGCTGAAACACGAGATGCACCGCAGCTGCTGCACGAATGCGGCGCCACGGCAGCCGCGCCCGGGACGGCGACGCTGCGGGCCACCACCCAGGCAGAGCTTCTGCTTCTCCTCTCCGCCGACTCCTGCACCCTCGACCCTCCTGCTGTTTGGACCAGCGTCGAGCAGCAGCAGCGGGGCTCTCACAGATCCGAGGAAGACTCTGCGATCGACGGCAGTAACACAACCTGGCCAACGTGCAGCTCCACCACGGTCACCGTCGCCGTCTCGCAGCGTCGGACCTCGCACGCGACAACTGCCCTGCCGGACTCCACACATCCACCACCGCCACCACCACCATCGTCGTCGTTAGCCGGGCGTTCTACAGTCTTTCAAATGGATGTCTCCTCCATTACGGCGTACGGCACGCATCAAGACCTCTCCTTAAAGCGTGTTCAGCAAGAGGCGGAGTCGATTTTGGGCTCGATTGCGGAGCACAACCGCCGTATGCAAGCGGAGACAAACGAGGAGCTGCAGGCACTGGAGACGCTGGAGGTTCTCTGGCGCGCCATGGCAGCACCCAAGGCGAGTCCGAACGTGTCCTCTCAGGGCGGTCACGCAGAAAGAGGGGGCGGCGGGGAAGACGGGCGGAACGGTGATGCCCAAGCGACGCACCCAGGCGTCACGCCGAAGCCGAAAATGTCGCGGATGCCTGTTGCCGTGGCCGACACACTCCTGGTGTCTTTGCAGCCCGCCCCCTTTGCGGAGTTGCGGGAGCAAGTCCTGGCTCGTTACGCGCGGCTACAAGAAGCCTTCGCGGCGGATGTGGCGGCCCAGCAGGCGACTTCTCCCTTCGGCAACATCTTTGCCTCCGTGGATGCTGCCAGCAATGCAACCGCTCCCTCCTTAGTAGACGGCTCCCCGCCCTCCTCGCTGAGTAGCAGCGCGCGCCCCACCGGTGCCTCGTCGTTGTCCTCCACTTCCCCCTCCTCCTCGAAGGCGCCATCCACCCGCACCACACACGGCGTCGACTCCCTCCGCAAAGATGCTCGAGTCAGCGGGTGTCTGTACCTCCCGCCCATCGTCCGGCAGGTGCTGCGCGCGCCGTCCTTTGCCCCCGTGCTTGACTACGTCCACCGCACACGCGTGGCCTTCCAGAAGCACCTCAGCACGCAGCAGGATGCTCTGGTGGAAGAAATCATGGCACGGCTGCGCACCGTCTACGCGGATTACTACGCCGTGACACGGGATAGTGCCTACGCGGTCGCCCCAGATGGCGAGCTGCGGGTGGCGATGGAGGAGGAACTGCTCGAGACGCTGCAAGCGAGTGAGCTGAAGCCTTGCCCCACTAGCAGCGACCTCGGCAGTGAGACGGCGAGCATCTATGAAGAGCATCAGCTTGGTGGTGGTGGTGGTGCGGTTGTGGGTGCTGGAAAGATTCTCCTCGGCTTCCAGCGGCACCTCGCGGCGTGTCAGCAGGTGCGGGAGCAGGCAGGAGAGGAGCTGGAGCTGCTGCGGCTGCGGCTGCACATCATCGACCAAGCAGAGCCCCTCGTCCTCGACTACCAAACCGTTCTCCGGGAGGAGGCGGAGATGCAGGCCGGCAGTCGTGAGCGCCTCCTGAGCAAGAAGGTGAACATGGCGAAGCAGCTGCTCCAGGAGGAGAAGCATCGTCGCCGCGTGGCGAAGGATCTGCCGCGCATCGTGGCGCACCTGTCTGAGTTGGTCGCCGCGTGGAGTGCACTGCAGGTGGCGGACGTGCACAACGAAGATGATCTTCGTCATAGAAGCAACAGCAGCAGCAACAACAATAACGCAGAAAGTACGTCGTCTGCCTGTGGGGAGTTGTGCATCCACGGCCAGCGTGTACGCGACCTCGTGGCTGGCGCCTCGCTGCGCACCGGCACGGCAGCAGCAGCGACGCCGTCATCGTTGATGTTGTCGTCGTCCGCCGTCGCGTCCCGCACACGTCCTCGCAGTGTTTCCATGCACGCAGCCCCGACCTCTCGCTCTGTCTCTCCCGCCCCGCCGGCCGTCGCACGCACACGCACGGAGTCCTCTTGCTCGTCCTTTGCACGCCCGCACAGCACTAGTGCTGGACAACGGAATGCCTCCCCGGCTCATGGACGGCATCCGCCGACTCCGCATCGTCGAGCCACACCGTCGCCGCAGCCCTCCGCTTCTCGCGAAGGTCGACTTCTAGAAAGGGCGCCGGGTGGCACGAGTCGAAGCCCATCCTTTGCCTCCAGCACCGCAGCAGCAGCGGCGAAGCGCACCCCGGCGCTGACTCGCTCCCGCACTCCACCACCGCCATCCCTCATCCCCCCTATCTCTGCTGTTCACGCGTCCTCGCAGCCCTCCGGCACGCATCACCGCTGTTCTCCCACGCCGCCTCTCGTGCCGTCCATGGGTGTCGGGTCGCGTGTGCGATCGCTCTCGCCGTCGCTGCGGCAAGGTCTGTCCGCGCGAACGGTGAACACGCCTGTGGTGCGCCACACGAGTAAGTCGCGCAGCCCGGCGCCGGTGTCGGGGACGCCTGCGGGGCATCGAGCCATCTTCTCTTCCAACTTCACAGCTCGCCATTGAAGCTCAGAACTCTTTTTATGTTGCTGGTTTTTTTTTTTTACTTGGCACGCTTCGTCGGTTCGATCGTCGCGAAACGGCCAGTGCGTGCGTTGGACTGTCTCGCTTCTTCCCCTGTAGTTGTCTTCCGATTATTACTCTTTATTATTATTGCTATGACTTCTATGATTGACCTCATCTGCTACATTGTGGCCCTGTACATCATCTCTAGACTGTGTTGCACGCGTTGGACGCTGTTATGCAGACAACGTGTGCGTTCGTGCTGTTATTGTTTTTCTAATATTACTGTTTTATTTTTCTCTTTTACCTTAGATGCACTCTGCCTATATAAATATATACATGTATCTCAGCCTCTTCATGTGGTGGCGCGACTGTACTCGTTTCGCTTTGCCGTCTGTCGTCTCCCAAGCCACGTGTTCGCACGCAGCGGCGGAGGCGCGGCCTTTTCGTTTCTGCCTTCAATCTTCCCCGGTTATAGAAAGAGGAGGAAAAAGAGGACAAAGGAAGAAAAAAAAAACATCGTGAGGTCTCGTTGACGCGCCGTAGAACCGTGGACGGTTGCTTCGGTGCGCGTGACGGGTGACCGCATCTCCTTCTGCCACTCTTTAAAGCGCGTGCAACTCCCTTATCACGCACGTCCGCCCTCATTACGCTTACAGTGTTTACAAAACGCTTCCACACTGCACCACAGGGAGGAGGAGGAATATATATATGTTCGCTTCCTCATCATTGCTGCTCGCTTACCTGTAGGTTTTCCATGTCTTGTGGCTACGCTTCGTGTGCCCTGCCGCTTCGTCTCTCCCACTAACGAATAGAGACGCGTCTTGACGCACTCCCCGTCCACCTTCTCCTCCGTCTTTTCCTTTCCTTTACTTTCCTTCAGTGTTTTACGCACGCTCTTACGTACACCTCCAATATCCTCGTCTTCGCTCTGCTCGTAAGCGATGTCGTCGTCACCCCAGACCGCAGCAGCCGGCGGTGTCTCTGCCACCGCCGTGCCGCACGAGTGGACCTCCACGTGGAACCTCTTCGACGAGCGACACACCGGCGCCGTCTCGCACACGGACCTGAAGCACATCCTGCGCAGCCTTGGCCGCCGCTACACCGAGACGGAGTTCAACGACCTGCTGCGGCCCCTGCCCAACCCGGCCCCCTTCGACGCCTTCGTGAAGCTCATGCAGCAGCCGTATACCGGTCCCACCGAGGACGACCTCATCACTGCGCTGCGCGCCTTCGATGTGGGGGACTCGGGCAGTTTGAAGCTGTCGGAGTTGATTACACTCCTCACCACGCTGGGGGAGAAGATGCCGGAGGCGGACGTGCGCCAGCTCCTGGCGGAGGTGCCGACGGATGAGAAGGGTCGCGTGCGGATCGACGAGCTCGCCACGTACCTCTGCACACCGGTGCCGACGACGACGCCAGACATTGTGGAGCTGCAACGGCAGCTGGACCAGGTGAACACCCCTAGCGCTGCCGCCGGTAGTGGTGGTGGCGTCGCGACGAGCTCGTCGTAGCAGCGGGCCGGTTAAGGTGCGTATTTGTTGTCCATTGCGTGTTATGTACAAAAGAAATTCCTAGAGAGAGACATAGGGAGATATGAGAAGGCAAAGGGGGGCTTGGCACGCAGCTCGGACGCTGCCGCCTGCAGCACCGTGCAGCTCGTTAACTTCTCTTGTCACGCACGGTGCTGTGTTTGTTTTCGCTTTCTCCATGCTGACGTACGGCCTATTTTATGTATAGAAAAGGGGCAAAAGAAAGGGGAAAAAGAGTTTCGTTTGCCGGAAGCACAAGGCGGCTGTGCGGCGAAGGACATATCTCCTGTGTAGTTCTTCCACTTCTCTCCCATTTGAAAAGGAAACGAAAAATAGAAGACTCCTACTTCCATGATGTTAGGAGCGGAGTCCTTTGCCCGAGAAGGAAGCTGATGGCATCCTCAAGTGGAGCAGCCGTTGACCTGTTGGTTGTCGCCTTTCCTTCCCCTCTCCTCTGTGTGTGTGTGTGTGTGTGTGTGTGTGTGCGTGGCTCTTCTCAACGCTGCAGTGACGTGTGCTACACGCAACGGCTTCTGTGGCGGTCTTGCTTGCTTGGCAAGCGCCTCTGTTTCTCTTTCTCTCTCTGCCTTCCTCCTTTGAGAGTAAGTCGTCGCGTTACTCCTGATCCTACTTCTTTCTCTGCGTACCCGCTTCTACCTTTATTATTTCCCTTGACTGCCTTCTCCTCCTCACCAAGGAAGTCGCAGCAGAGGTGTATTCATTAAGGTTTTATCATTATTATTATTATCACCTACGTGTTTTTGCACCACTGTTTAAACAGTATTTTTTTTAGTTGAAATTCTGTCCACCAAACGTCACGCGCACACAAGCATCTCTCTCTATCTCTGTGTGTGAGTGTGTTCATATCGTGTGCTCTATAGCTGCCCAACGGCCCCGGCTCTCACGTGGCGGACCATCAAATTATCGCTGTTACTGACTTTGAAAAGAGAAGAAATATTTTCCTTTTCTCTTTGGCGCACGTGTGGTCTTGTCGGGTACCGCGTTGCAGCGTCTCCGGTCGTGGACTTTTTTTTAGCTCCTTTCTCTCTCTCTCCCGCTCTACTTGCTTTCGTGGGGTAGTGGCCTCTTTGCTAGTAAAAGCATAAGCCTCTGCTGGGACGTGCGAAGGGGTAAAAGAACGCAGGAGCCGTCGAGGCTGCATCACGGTCCCCTTTGGCAGGGCGTCCCCTCCCCATTTGTGGCGCGGTTTCGCGTTCCCCAGCCCTCCCCCCCCCCCCTTCCGTCGCCGCCGCGGCGTGGTTGGGATTCCACCGTTGCAGCCAGCTTCTTCTGCTGCTGCTTTGCGTTTGTTTGTTTCTGTAAGTCCCTCGTGCATCAACGCGCACGGACAGTAGAGGTCTCTTCGCTTTCTTTTCTCTTTCTTCTTCTCAGCGGTTGTTGTTTGGTGGTCCTCACCACCGCCGCCTGTCCTTTTTCCCCCTCTACTTCTCTCACCTCAACGGAAACCGCCCACCCTTTGCGATTTGTACCTCCTCGCACGTGGTGAAGGCAGTTCAGTCGACCAGCGCGCCGCATCTTGTGTTCTACTTTTATCTTTCTTTAGCCTGTAGACGAAACCCGCTGCACATACCAACGTGGAGAGTCACAGCCACTGCCCGACAGCCGCGCCGTGGATGACAGCTGTGCTTCTTTCGTATTTTCGTTCTTTGCTGTTCTCTCAATGAGTAGTGAGTCAAGTAGTGCTTACGCCGCCCGTGGCGGACACGGCTCGGCTGCGGGGACCTCGAGCACCCCCCATACACCACAGTCCGCCTCACAGTCCTTCTCACGCGAGAGCCAAGACTACCACACACCCGTCAGCGTGGAGAGTCGATCAGAGCGGCGGGGCAGCTCGCCTTTGCCGTCCGCCGCCAGCGCCGCAGGTGGGGTCGAGCGGGGGCGTCCGTCTTCGTCCCCCTCGCCCCCCCCGTCGCCGTTTCCTACCCCGGCAGGCGGTGTTGGAGACACGGTGCAGTCACCACCGCCGCAGCGGCACGCCGTCGTGCTCTCCCCACCGCTCATGTCCTCCACAAACGCGTCCTCCTCGTCGCCGGTGCAGACGGGCGCGGTGGATTCCATGCCGGCCTCCGCCACGGGGCTGCCCGCCGTCGCTGCGTATCAGTGCGAGGGCGAAGCCGTGAACAGCGCCGCACACGTCGACCCAACCAATAATCGAAAAGGCACTATGGGCAACGGTAGCAGTGCGGGGGGTGGCGCCGGCACGAGCACCATTGCACCAGCACAAGTCAACCCTTTCAACGCGAGTCTCAACGCGAGCCTTGCGGGCCTCAACGCGTCCTTCGGCGCGGGCTCCATGAGCATGTCCCAGTCCACGACAAGCGTGTCGCCCACCAATGCGAGCGGTCTCACTCCGTACCGTTCTCTCAACGCTGCCTTTACAATCGGCCCCCGCCCCGACAGCGACGTGGAGGCGTCGGAGGAGTACAACAGCGATGCACCGAGCGTGTGCCTGGAGCTGGACCGGCACGACCCGCCCATCAAGCGCTACTGCAACCTCGGCAGTCTGGAGGAGCGGCGCACCTTCGTGACAGAAGGCTGCGTGACGGCGGCGAAGTCGATGTCGACGCAGCGCATCATCGAGCATCTCCTGCCCGCCATCCTCACCGCCTTCGAAGCGGACGACTACGGGGAGTCGTTTGACAACTGCGCGCCGAGTATCGCGCAGGCACTGCCGCAGGTGATCACGTGCATGGAGCACAAGAACACGGCGAACATCACGTACTTTATGGGGCTCATCATGGAACTGTGCTGCTCCGCGGAGCAGGTCGTGGTGAAGGAGACGATCGCCTCGCTGCAGCAAATACTGGCCATGGTGGAGGACGAGGTGGTGCTGGATTTGTTTCTGCCCTTTGTGCTGACAATGCGCGTCTCCTTCTGGAGCGCACCGCGCACGGTCGCGGCGAGTCTGCTTGGCCACATCGCCATGCGTCCCGCCGTGCTGCAGGCCAGCGGTCTTACGGTGACGGATATGTTCAACTACTACGCCGAGTGCAGCAGCGACGCGTCGACGATGGTGCGGGTTGGCGTCGTCACCTCCCTACACGACTGGGTGCGAGTGGCGTCTGTACACCGTCTCACCTTGGCGGAGATGCCGCTGCCGCTGCTGCGCACCCTCGCCACCGACGACCTCAGCGACACGGTCCGCTACCTGCTGATTGAGGAGATTGTGAAGCTCGCACGGCTGATTGGGCGGAAGTCGACCTCCAAGTATCTCCTCAGCACCTACGTCAGCGCCTTCGTCGACCCCAGCTGGCGCGTGCGCTTCATGGCGGCAAATCACCTCGGCACGATGGCCGCGTTGGTGGTGAACGCCGACGACCTCGAAATCGTGTTGAAGACGCTGGCGGCCGATGAGGAGCCCGAGACACGCGCGGCCGTGGCGCGGCAGCTCGACACCGTCGTGGTGCACTGTAGCAGCGCCATGATCCAGCACTGCTGCGCGCTCGTCGTAGAGCACTTTGCTGAGGACGAGAACCCGGTGGTGCGTCGCAGCGCGGCCCGCCATTGTCACTGCTTCATCTACGGCAGCGATGAGGTGGTGCTGACCATGTGCAACTTCTTAGCGAAGCTGATGGAGGACGCATCCTTCGTCGTGCAGGAGAGCGCCATCGAGAGTTTGGGTGACCTCGTCACGAGCCTCGGCAAGAGCGTTCGTGCGGCCGAGCAGCAGGCGGCGCTGAGTGACAGCATGAATAGCAGCGGGACCACCAACCTGAACATCAATAGCAACAACGGTGGCGGTAATGCAGCGCACGGAGCTGGAACAGGTCCGTCGTCTTCCACCTCCTCTCGCAGCTCCACCTCCAAGCCGCAGCCGCAGCCCCCGCAGTTCGCCCAGCCGCCCATACACAGTCGCAGTGGGCGTCACCACTCCCCCCACCACTCCTCGCGGCTCGTGACGGCGATGGCAGCCGCGAATGGCAGCGCGAACACCGCCGAGTCGAACGTCGCCTTCGTGAGGAAGCGCGCCGACTCCATCGCACGCGCCTTTGTCGATAAGCTTTCGCTGCTGAGCGGGTCACGCAACTGGCGCATCCGCGACGTCGTTGTGCGGGTCACGCAGTACTTTCCGAAGGTGCTCCCGCCGGATCAGTTTCGCCCCCTCACCAGCATCGTCGTCGGGGCGCTGCACGACCCGGTGAGCGCCGTTCGCCGGCAAGCCGTGCACACACTGAAGAAGGTAGCGGCCGCGTACGGTGGGGCGTGGGCGGCGCAGACGGCGATGGAGCTTCTGCACTCCGACACCCTCTCCCCGGCACGGGCGGTGGGGTACATGTGGCGCGTCGTGATGATCCAGTGTTTGGAGGTGCTGCTGCCGGTCGTGCGTGAGCTGGACGCGACGGACCCGGTGCGGCGGCAGCTGCTCCCCATGACGGCTGCCTTGCTTCAGCAGTACACGACCGATCGGGTGCCGAATGTGCGCATCGCGGCGGCACTCGCGCTGCCGAAGTGGTTTGCGTGGTTTGACGTCACGGAGGTGGAGCGCACGGCGTACAACGAGGCGATACACACCTTGCAGCAGGACACCGACGTGGACGTGCTGGATGCCTCGCAGCACATCCCGTACAACCGACGAATCGCCGAGGAAGAAGGCTAATGAGGCGTGCTCAGTGGTGCATTTCCTTGTCAGTGTGTGTGTGTGTTTCCTCTGTCCAACTGCGTATTTAGTAGATGCTGCTCTGTGTCACGCCTTCCAATGGCCTCCGCGTACCGTCAGCAGTAGGACTTTGATTTTTTCTTCTTCTTCCCACCCGTCGATTATTCCTTTTTTGTTGTTGCGTTAGCTTTGCAGGGGCGTCCCTACGGATCGGCTGATGCGCCGTGCATGCCGAAATGCACCGCTGTGGTGGGTTGCTGCCGCTGTTCTTTGCTACCATTATTATTGTTGATGATGACACCTCTTGCCCTCCTCCCTTTCTGTTTTTTCGCAGGAGTTTTTGTTCGCCCTGTACAGTTTCTGGTTATTTCTATTTTTGTAGCTTTTCTCTATTCTAGGTATTACAATTTGTCTTACTGAAGCAAATGGAGGAGTATGACGGTGCGTTGATGCCCGCTGCGGGCTTCTCACTATTCGGCCAAAGCTATATCACGTGTCTCGGTGTGTATTACCTTAGCCGGGTTTTATGTAGCAGAGGCTTCTTCAACGCGGATGTTGTTGCCGAAGGTGGAAGAGGGGGGGGGGCTGGTGGCAGGCGCAGTGCCCGGCGCACCCACACACGGGCAGTCATGAACTCGAGAATCCATACCCAAAGAGGTGTTTTCTTGTTTGTCTGTTTGTTTGTTTTCTTTTTGCGAGCAACACTTATAAACTTATTAACACTGGACGAAGAACGCGCGTCGCACCCGGCTGTGTAAGGCGTACAACGAAACGACGTACTGAACGCAGCTTTCTTTCTTCCTTTTACTCCGTCTTCTTCTTAGCCATCGTCGGCTGTCGAAGAGGGCCATCGACAAGTAAATAGGATCGCTGTCCGTTCTTTTTGTTTTCTCTTGCTTGTTGCTATTGCCACTGCTGTTCTTCCTCGTCGGTGGAGCGAAGGCCTTACTGGGTATTAACTACCATATATATATCCGGGTGGCGGGCGTCTCGCATGTCGTTCTCCACTTCAAAGGCGCCCCTTTCACAACGAACAGCAAAGCAAAACGTGTTGATGCTGTCGCTCGAGTTCATCTGTGCAGCAAACTTCGATTCCTCTTTCTCTCTCTCTCTCTCTCCATCCGCCGCTTCACCGATTCCTCCTTACAATTTTCACTATTAGATTTCGGCGAACCGCGCAACCGCACAGTTGCCGATTCTTGTTTTGTTTTCCGATACGACGGCGGAAGAAACTCTTCCGACGGAGATAACTCTGCACTCCCTGTTTCTCGAGAAAGAGAGAGAGAGAGAGTTCAGCTAGATTTTTAGATTGCCATAGACTCCACCACCATTGTGCCGCCAGACGGTTCGCCTCATTTACGCCCTGTGTTTATCATTACTATCATTATTATCAGTAGCTGCTGATCGGTGCCAGCAGTATTACTGGGTAGGGTGCTTTCTGCTTTGTTTGTTGTCGTAACCTGTATCCTTTCCAATTGTTTTTGTTCTCACCTACAGAGGCGCGTGTGCGTGTGTGTGTTCCATCATGCCTTCTTCAACGCCCTCTCCGCAGCAGGCGGCGGACCTCGCAGAGGTGCCCATCGCGGTACACCCGTACAACCTCGACAGCGTCTTCCTCTCCAAAACCATCGTCTCCCTCCAGGAGATGTTCACCAACACGGTGGACGGCCGATTCGATCTCTCGCCGCTGCCCGCGAACACCGCCGTAGCACTGCCAACCAAGACAGAAGTGGAAGCCGTCGCCGCGCCGTCCACCGCAGTTCCTCTTGCTGAAAGGAATGTGTCGTCAGCGCTGCCCTTCTCCGGCGGGTCGCAGCCGTACGTTGCGTCCACGCCACGCGACGCCTCTTCTGCGCACTCCACCTCCTCGGTGCAGCAACACCAACAAGTGGCGCAGACCGCCGACGCGCAGCGAGTGCCACCGCACGGCTCCCCTAAAGCGAACAATGCGACGCCGGTGTTCACAAGGTCGATGTCGTCGTCATCTGAAGCTCACGCCTCGCCGCACCTCACAGTGGTCCCCCTCGATTCCTATCACCTCCTACTCTCCTTCCGAGAAGTGGACCTTGCTGAGACGGCCGCGTCAACGCAGAACCGAAGTGACGGCGAAGGAAGCAGCGGGGACGCGGACTTTGCCGCAGCAACACGGCGGGCGACGTCCTCCGTGGAGAAGCTGTCCGCAAAGGCGCCCGGGCCGCGACCACCCCGCAGCGGGGTATCGGTGGTACGTCGCCTCGAAGGCGACATGCGGGGCAGCTGTTGCTGCTCCCCCTCCTTGCACACCGCCTCCTCTTCAACAACAGCAGCAGCAGCAGCAGACGGGCAGTCGGTGTACCCGACGCTCTCTCGCCTTGCGCACGACCTCCCGTTTCGCGGCTTTGACGGCTGGGTACGTGATTACACAGCCTATGGGCTGTCGCGTAACGCCACAGCGCTGCGGGGGGCGTGGAGGGACAAGCTGCGCGAGGGGGAAGAGAATGTGGACACTGAGGAGGAGGACAACGCTGGTGGCCACGGTGATGCATCGATTCTACTTCCCACAGGCACGGTGATGGAGGCGACAACAGGCACGGTGCCAGCAGATGATGCGGATGGCGCCTCGCCGCCGGCACAGCCCCACGCCGATACTTTGGACTCTGCACAGGACGGTGCTGCATCGAGCCGCAGCAGCCCCGTCGTGCAAAAGCCTTCAGCATCTTCACCCGACGGCTGCGGCGACGACGGATCAAAAAGTACTGTGAAGATCGAACCGGCGATCGCGGCTGCTGCTGACGTCGCAGATGGAGACGTGCCACCCCAAGATGCGGGCAACACGGCTATCGCCGCCTCGGCAGCAGCAGATGCAGACGCACCGACGGCGTGCGTGCCGGATAGTGGAGAAGACGGAAAGCAAAGCGTCACGTTGGAGGGAAAGGCGGTGTCGCCGTCGCTGGACCGGCTGAACTGCAGTAGCACCACCGCATCGTCCTCCATGACCTCTTCCTGTTCTCCCCCCTCGGACGACAACACCGTCACGCGAGACATGAACCACCACAACAACGATGCTGCTGCCGCTGAGAAGGGACGTGCAGGTGCCGTAGGAGGTGTAGAACAACCAAAGACAACCGCGGCAGGGGAGGCAGGGACGACCGACGCCCACGACACACCACTACAACCGCCGTCTCCTCATACGGAGCAACTCTGGAGTGACGAACGTCGACGCGAGGCACAGGTCTCGTCGCAGCTGGCGCACCGCTTCGTTGTCTCTGACAACACCCAGCACGCTATCTGGGCCATTGAAGTGACCGTACCTGCCATGCAAGTCCGCGTCGTACCACCCGCTGAATTCTACAGCCTCGAAGGGAAAAGCGACGATGGTGACGTGGAGCAAGACGCAGGAGACGACAACAACAGCCATGGAGACACGACCGGCGAAGCAGCAATGCGGTTGCCGCGTAAGCGGTCAGCGACGGCGGTCACACAGGCCCGCCCCGCAACTACCACTAAAAATGGTTCAGCAGGTATGCCGGCTCAGCAACGATCTCCTTCACCAGCAGATCCACGGTCTGCCGTGCACCACAACAACACGGACGACGACGGGGACAAAACGAAAGAGTCGCCACTCCCCGCGCAGGCCAGTGCCGTGGGCATCAGCCCCAGCTGCTCTGCGTCGGTCGTCACTCAGCCCCCGCACGGTGCGTCCTCTTCGACGTCCCAAAGCTGTCACACCCGTCGCGGTCGCTCTTCGAAATCGGCGAGTCCGTCGGTGGCCCTCGCTCAGGCGGCTCTGACGCCCCTCATCGGAGGGGCTCGGGGCTTTGTAGACGGCCACTTCAGTGTTGCTCGCTTCAACGCCCCAGGCGCGCTGTGCTGGCGGGTCGACGAAACCGATGACGACGAGGAGGAGGAAAACACCTGTCTAGCTGCCGAGGACCCCCTCCGCTACGTACAGCACCATCGCCGCTGCGCGGTGCTCTTCATCAGCGACGTCGGCAACTGTGCCATTCGATATGCCAACTTCCACAACCGGCTCGTCCGCACCATCGCCGGCATGAATGGAGTCCCCGGCTACCGCGATGGCAGCTGTGCGTCGTCGCTGCTGCGGGCCGCGACAGCGCTGGCGTGGTGCTCGGCAGGGCTGCTCTTCACGGACGGCCCTAACAACGTGGTGCGGCTCATCACACACGTGAACCGGCAGACGCATCCGCACACGGCGAAGGGACGAAGTTCGCAGGACGCCATCGCCACCGAAGCAGCGCAGAGTGAAGCGGAAGACGAGCCCCATCAGCGAGACGTTGGCGCTGACGAAGAAATGGGTAAAGCGGCGAAACGTGGTGACGAAGCCGCCGCACAACCAGCGCAGCTTCCTGGGCGACCTTCTTCCGCAGACCCGGCCTCCCTCGCTGTGGCCTCTTCGGACCACGCAGCAGCCGGCAAGAACGACGACCCTCCCTCAGCAAACAGCAAGGACGCGCCGGACTCGTCTCCCGCCGCAGACATAGCGGGGGAAAACGCCTCTATGAAAGCTGACGATCAAAGCACGTCGGTAGCGGCCAACCCTGCCCTCCCCCTCCCTCGCACCCCTGAGCTGTCGGATACGTGCGCCTCCAACGTCAACGTGAACGTGAATCACGCGTCCGACAGCAAGGCTGAACGGGCCGCAACGTCCAGCGTCGTGCCGCGTGTGTGGACGCTGGCGGGTTGCTGCGTCACACGGACTGAGATCACCGCCGGCGAGGAGAAAAGTGGAGCTACTCGTGCTGCCGCCGCTTCCTACGTGGATGGCCGCACCCCGACCCACGCCTGCTTTGGCTACCTCAGTGACATGGCGTTGTGGGCTGACGAGACGGGCGACACGCAGCTCTACCTTGTCGATCAAACGCACCACGCCGTACGCGTGGTAGACGTGGAGGGAGGCGTGTCAACCTACGTGGGTCCGCTCGACTACTCCGCTCCCACTGCTTCTACACGATCAGAAGCGTCGCACGAGAGGAGCGGCCTGGGAGGGGCGGCGGCAGACGCGTTGCCCCCGGGTCTGGTGTACCCGTCCTGTCTCGCGATGGCTGCCCTGATCAAGGAGCGGTCCCCCGCGTTGATGGACAGCACCAACGCTGGCATGCTGACACCGCAGCCGTACCTGTGCTCCTCCACGCCGCTGTTGTTCGTTGCAAGCGCCGTCACGGGTGTCGTCTCCGTCTTGCTGCCCATCTCGCAGCGCAGCGAGTTGGTGCCGTGGAACGTGGCGGCTGCCCTTCAGCAGTCCGCCCAAGTCTCAAAAGGAAACGAAGATGCTGCGAAACGAAATGGTGAAGCCTCCGCGGCCTTTCTTCAGCGCATTCACAATGCGTTGTCGCTGGGCGTCGCCACGGAGGGCAGGCGCACCATCGGTGAGGCGACCGCGCCATCCCTGAAGCACGTCGTCGCGGGCTGGGGGGTCGAAGACGACGAAGAAAGCGGATGCGCAGCGCACGGTGACGGCGTCGGTGCCGCCTCTGCGTACACGCGAAGCGTGCTGCGACACGCCCGTCTTCAGCAGGCACTCCTTTACCTTCGGCTGCGCTTTCCGTGGGTGCTGCCGCCGGCGGTGCCGCAGCTGAGCTCGCGTCTGGTGGCGGGCTGCACCTGCCACGTCTCCGGCAAGCGTCGCGGCAGCTCAACGCAACGACGTTCCGTGACGTCCTTCGCTCCTCCGCAGAGCGCTGCCCAGCCAACGCCGCTCGCCGGTGCGGGAGTAGGGGTCTCGTTGCTGCCGCGCTCCAGCCGTAGCCTGACCAGTGGAGGTGGGTACAGGGCGTCCTCCTCCCCCGTCGCCTCTCCGCCGGCGCGGCCCCTGCAGCCGCACCGACTGCTCTTTAGTACGCCGCCGCGGCACCCGGTGGTGGGGGTGCCGTACACGCACTCCATCACAGACCCCCGCACGGCCGCCGCGGCGAGGGAAGTGGCGGACCTGCTCCTGCACGGTCCCCCATGCGCCGCTGCTGCTGCTGCGCCACGCCTGGTGGAGGTGGAGGATGCGGATGGAGTGGAAGCGGCTGAGGAACCGCGAAAGGCGGGCAGGCGCCCGTCGAACGCGCAGGATGACGAGCGTGTGGCAGCGGAGATGCTCGAGGCTCAACAGAAACGCGGTAGCAGCAGCAGCAGCAGCAGCAGCAATCCTCTTCCCGCCGATGATGATGGTGATGCAGAGAGAGACGAGGAAAGGGAGGCAGTCGACGGCGGCGATGGCAGCGTCCACCACAACGATGGGCGGGAGGAAGACGAGAGAGAGGAGGGAGAGCGGCCCGTGGCGAAACCGCGCAGTCAGTGGCTCCCGCCTCCAACGAAGAGTGTCTCCCGCTCGCCCGTCGGGACCCCGCGAGGGGGTGCAGCAACAGCATCCGCAGCGGCAGCAACAACGGACGTCACGGAGGCTGTGGACACGACACCGCTGCCGCCGTCTCCGTCCTCCTACGCCGCGAAGTTTGAACGTTTGCCGGCGGAGCAGCGCCAACTTCGGGTGCTACAAACGCTGGAAGAGCCAACACCGCGGGCCGGTAGCGGTGCGGCCCCCCGCGAGCTGTCCGCCTCCCCATCCCCTAAGAAGGTCCGCACAAGCAAAGAAGCGCTGCCGCGTAAAACGGGTCGTCAGCACGCATATCCAAATGCGGAGGACGACCGTCACGGGAGCGCTCGCGAGAAAGGCGACAGCACCGAAAGCTCTGCCTCCTCCCTGCACCAACGCCAGCAGCAGCCTTCACGCAAGTGCCGGACCCCGTCGCGATCACCCAACAGCTCCAGCGGACGCGCCAGCCCTCCCCTCACCCCGCGTTCGATGACCGCCCATCAGCTCATGCAGCGTCGCCGCACCAGCCGAAGCAACACCGCCCCGCACGTGCCGTCAGTCGGCAGCACCGCCGGCACAGGGAAAGGAGTGTCGCAGGAGAAGGAGAAAGCGCCAACGAAGGGTTCCGTGGCCGGTCCGCAGGGCACGAGAAGCACCGAAAAGGAGGAAGGTCGGGAAGGACGAGCAGACTCGCCGTGCCGTGGCCGATCGCCGTCGCACGCCGTGCACGAGGCAGGAGATGCACCTCCGCTGCGGCCGTCAGCCGAGCGGGGCACCGCGCCCGTCCTGCTCGCAACGCCTTCGCTTTTTCACGATGCCTACGACGCGGCGGTGCGGCGACTCTTTCGCGTCTACGCGTACTTCGCCACCCGCACTGTCACGCACGCCGTGGTGGCCGGCACGCGGCGGCCGTCGCGCGAAGTCGAGCACTACAGCATGTCCTTCTCGGCGTTCCATCGCTTCGTGGTCTTGACGGGCTACGTGGACTATCTCGCTGATGTCGCGGCGGCAGCAGCAGCAGCAGCAACGAATAAGGAGAAACACGAGGAAGCGCCACCGGAGAAGTGGTCGACGAATCTTACCCAAGTGCAGCGACGCGGTGCGGTAGCGGCGGCGGCGTCGCGGCCCAACGGCAAGTCCGCCTCTCTCGTAAGGGGATCCACGCACCCCACCGCCTCATCCCCGTCTCCGTCCTCGTCAGCCCCGTCGCTGCAATCATCATCATCGCTGCCGCCGCCGCCGCTGCAGCTGCTGCCTCTCGCCGTCACAGACAGCCGGGCCGTGGTGGACGTGCTGTACAGTTGTGGGGTGCGCACGCAGGGCTATCACGTCGTCACCCGCATGGACTTCCAGGCCTTTCGGCGGGCGGTGCTGCTGCTGCGCACGTGGGCAAGCACCGCACACACGCACGACGAGCTGTGGAAGAGGCGTCCGTCGTCATCAGCAGCCGCAGCAGCAAGGAACGTGAACCTGAAGGAGGACCACAACGATGGCGACGACGACAACGACCGGGACGCGGCGGCCTTCGCCTTCCTCGACCGCGTGCCCTCGCTGGACGCCCTCTCCGCCGAGGAAGTGGTGGCCGCCTACGCGGAGGTGTACGCCCAGGCGGTGCGGACGGTGCCGGCCCTCCACGCACTCCACCCCGGAGCGCGCTTGGCAACGGACGGGGAAGGGAGGACGACAGAGGGGGAGAAGGAAGATGAGGAAGAAGAAAACCCTCGACAGCCGAATGCGTCTTCCGGCTCAAACGCGGCGCACGTCGTGCCACAGCTACCGTGTTCGACCAGAAGTTCGTCCCTGCGCTCCCTTGAAGACGCGATGGGCCTCGGCAACGGTGCAGCTGACGCTGATCGGTCAAGCAAAGCCAGCAGCAGCGACAGCAAAGTTGGAAGCGACCACGCAGAACAGCACGCGCGGTCCTCGCTGCAGGTACCCTCCGACGACGACCGCTCTGCTGCCGCGGCCACCCCGCCTGTCTCGCCTATTTCGCTCGCAAAGAACGGCGAGGACGTCTCCTGTATTCTCCTCGACGAGGACAACCGTAAGGAAGGCCCAGCGAGTGGCAGCGCAGCGCCGCCCTCCTACGTGCACTCTGCTCTCACACGAGAGGAGCGACTCGCGCTGGATGACCTGCTTCGCCTCCTGCAGCGCAACGAAGGTACGCTGCGACAGCTCTTCGACGCATACAGCGTGCCGGTGGTGGTACACCGATCCAGCCGGTACGAGGCGCCGCGTTCCGCCGCTGCCGCCGCCGCCGCGTCGAACCCGTGTTCGTTAATGTTAGGGGATAGTTGCAGCCAGGGCAGCCGAGACGCCTCTCAGGTTGTGTGTGGCGGCGGTGGTGAGGGGGGTCGTGGTCGTCGTGGTGCGAGAAAAGCCTTGGGCTCAGCGTCTGCGTCGCTGAACTCCACCGCGCTGCCGCCGCCACCTCAGCAGCGACCCCAGCCTCGGCGAGAAGAGACAAGCCGTGTCGGTCCCACAGCGGCTGCACGATCCACTGCCAGCCCCGCCGAGGCAGCGCTGTGCTACGTCCGTCTCGCCCTGCCCTCCACCCGACAGGACATGTGGTGGAAGGTGCAGCAGCTCTATACCATGAGCGCCCTCGAGAGCAAGGAGGTGTTTGAGCGGACGAGTCACACCGTGCGTGTGGTACCCTACAGGCTTTTTGTGTCGCTGTGGCGCACACTGGATGTATTCCCCTCCCTCATGACGGTCACCGCCACGCAGCAGGCGTACTGGGATGCCGTGACGACGACGCTGCTGCGCGGGACGTGCGGGAGTGCGTCTGCGGCCGCGTACGACTCCGCACTGCAGACCCACGTAGAGCAAAAGAATGGATCAGTGTTCATGTCATCTCCTGGTCCATCATCATCATCAGCGCCAGCAGGAGGAGCAGCAGCAGCAAAGGCGAAGGCCGCACGAGACAAGGCGATCGAAGAGCTTCTCTTTGCGCACACAGGCCTTACGTATCCGTGCTTCATGGAAGCTGTTGTGCGCGTCGCCATGACGGTGTTCTCACACGAGGTGGACCGCGTCGCCTACCCGACCAGCACCGCCAAGACAACCGGCTTAATGCAGTGGTGCAACACGCAAGTGCGTTTAGGACTGGTCGAGCAGCGGACGCGGAAGCATCTGCACCGTCCAGCGGCGGCGGCTATCGCCGATGAAGGCAGAGGGGGGAGCCGTCGCCGTAGTGACGGGGAGGCCGGTGTTGGAGGGGGAGGCGCCTGTCGCAGCTTTGCCGGGGCAGCGGCGTCGTCGCTTCTGGCCACACGCGGCGCCGGATCGTCTGCGGTCTTTCCGGACCACCTGCAGCTCTTTCACGTGCCCTCCACCCAAAAGAAGAAGGCAACGTAGTGCTTGAGAATCGATCTCCTGCTGTGTGGGGCGTACGTGAACAATTGAAAGATCACGGCAGCGGATGTGTGTGTGTTTTTCCCCTCGTTGATTGCTCTCTCTTATCCTCTTCTCCTACTGTTGTTTGTAGTGAAGATGCTCTTCTCTGTGCGTGTGTGTGTGTGTGTGTTGCTGAGTAATGCAACGTGGCGTTGCCTCTCTCGCTCTCTCTCTCTGACAAGAACCAAGCAGAGTAATTGATTACTGTCCTCTCTTATGAGAGGGGGAGCGTTATATTGTGCGAGCACACGTGCCCACGCGTAGTTACCCTGCTACTGACACGCTGCCTTCCAGTGGTGCATAACGGCAAGGACCCCCTTTCGCATTACGAAGAGGCTTGCGCTCGAGACTGTTTGCTTGCCGGCGGCGCGGCTCCCGGGACGCTCTACGCTCTTCTGATTTCCTTGCTTTTTCGACCTGCGCTCCCCTTCGACGCCAGCACAACACACCGCTACGGGCGCCTTCACAACAGCGCACACAACAAGAAAGCACCGAGGAAATGACGAAGAAGTGTTGCAAGCAGCCTTCAAACTAGAAACACCTGTGTGGTCTCCCCCTCTCTTTCTCTTAGGTATCTCTATATTCTTCCGTTGACAGCGTTTGATTTTTTTACGTTTCTTCAGCTCTTTTTTTTTTTAAGAGGAAAGGGCAGTTGCGATGCCGCCGCCGGCCTCCGCAGCAGCCATGAATGCGGCATCGCGCATGAACCGCCGCGTCTCGCGCATTGATCACAAAACCGCAGAAAAACTCTTTCCAAGGGAGCAGCGACTGCAGTGGCCGGACGGCTATTTGCCCGCCAGCGGCGTCGCCCACCTCCTTCGCCCGAACGGCGTTCCCTTTCAGGAAGTTTTGGAGTGCTACGCGGACATCAAGCAGGATCAACAGCACGAATTGCAGCGCGACTTTGCGGCCGACTACACGCTGTGGCACCGCTGCGCACTGGAGCAGTTTGTGCGCAGCCTCGGTGTCCACCGCCGTCGCCGCTTTACCCGCCTCACCGCGCGCGACCGCCTCGTGCACGACGGCGACGTCCGCGATGTTTTCCAGCTGCCTCCGTACGCGCCACCCGCACCGATGCGACTTCCCGGCGACCTGCATCGACGTGGAGCTGCTGATCGTCCGCAGCAGCAACAGGTACCAGCGTCTTTATCGTCAAAACAAGAAACGGGGAAGACGGCATCGTCCCAGCAGCAATGGCAGCAGCCTCCGAAGTACTACGAATTTCAGCCCTATGCCGCGACACAGGAGTACGCCATGCTCCCCGTCCGCAGCGTCCACTCTCCGCAGCAGCGGGTGCAGTTTACCACCTTCCCGCAGCTGCGAAATGTGCTGCACACCGACTTCGATTCCATGTCGGCCATGCGCGCGCTGAGCCTGTACAGCGACGACTCCATCGTGTTCACGCGCGAGCTGGTGCAGACGATCGCCCTGTACCTCCTGCGCCGACTGGACGAGATCGCACAGGCGGAGTCGTCGTTCCTCGCGTCTGCGTCCACGGCCTCGGACGTGACGTCATCGCTGTCGCCTCTCGGGCGTCCCACCTTTGCGGCCGAAACGCCGGTGGTCGCCTTCTTCGGGAACGGGCGGCTGGCGTGGATGCTGAACGAGAGCGGGCTGTTGCCGCAGTCGGTGCGTGCGGTGCAGCTGCCACGCCACGCAGCTGAGCGGCAACGTCGGCAGACGCACCTGCTACAGAGGCAGAAGAGCTTGGGGGACAGCTTCGGCTTCCACAGCGCTTTCTCAGCCATTTTCCCGTGCGAGACGCTCTCGGTCGGCGACGCGCTGCGCAAGTACAGGCCGGCCATCGCGCTCGTCGAGCCGCACGTCGACCGCGACTACCTCTCCGACCTGCGCGGGTTCTTTAGTGTGCGGGAGGTGCTCTGCTGCGGCCCGATCGACTCCCCCGCGATGGGCAGCTTCGCCTTTCCGTTTCTCAGCTTCGGCGTCACGCCCGGCCCGACGACGTACTGGGCCTACAACGACAACCTGCACAAGGTGACCGCCGCGGCGCGGATACAAATGCCGATGGACGCGCCGTTTGTGTCGCAGGGCTACGAGCGGTGCTACGTGGACGACGTCTCGGCCTACCTGATCTCCCCCAACGACTGTCCGGCTCTCACGCATCAGTACCGCTGCTTGGCATTTCGCCGCGTGCGCCCGCCGGTGTTGCAGGCGGTGACCTCCGCACAGCAGCAGCGCGTAGCACCGGAGCCACGCACGGCGCCGTCGTCTTCCTCCTCCGCATCCGCCGTGGCAGAGACCGGATTCCCGCACACACCGACAGCAACAGCAGCGTGATGGGATGGGATGAGGGAGCGGAAAGCAAGTCGTAGCGCCTTTATCGGTCTTCCGCGCGTTACCTCAATGAAGGGCATCGCGGGGGTTTTCTTTTCTTTTCCTTGCCTACTCACCGATGCACTCCTCTTCACCGGCGGAGCCTTTCCCGTGAATCCCTCGTTCATTCGTTGTCGCCACGGTTATTACGTTCTCTTTGTTTGTTGTGTTCCCGAGGTGGCAGTCGGTCAACAGTGGAGAAATTGTGATTATCACAAAGAAGGAAAGCGAGGAAAGCATGCACCACATAATCGGAGTTGTGTGTGTGGTGGGTGGGGGGGTGGGGG